GTGTCGACACCACCTCTTTGTAGTGCTCTTGGTATGGCTACTGAAAATTAGGGTCGACACCAGTCTTGGTGGTGTCGACAGTTGTCTTGTTGATTGGCCTCTGGGGTCAACGCTAGCCTGGGTGGTGTCGACACTGTCTTGCTGCTCAATCTTGGAAATTGCTACTGAAATATAGGGTCGACACCATGGGTTCTGAGGGTCGACCCTTCCCTTGTTGTTTTGTTTTGGGTTGCCTATTGAAAAATAGGGTCGACACCACCGAATTCGAGGGTCGACCCTCGCCTGTTACATAACATTATTTTCTTAGCTTTTCTTTTTGAGGGTTGACACCACTATCCTGAGGGTCGAGCCCTGTGAATTATTTCCAGATATTTGTTCAGCTTGGGCCCTACTTTTTGGGAATTTTTGACTTGTTGTTTTCATTTGACTTTGGAGCTATTATTCTATTAATACCTAGCCACTATAAATAGACCCAAAAGCATTTTTCCCTCATTGGTTACTTCTCTTTTCCCTCTCTAACCATGAACCTCTCTCTCTCTCTCTCTCTCTCTCTCTCTCTCTCTCTCCCCCTCTAAAACTCTACTTTTCCAACTTAGATCCTTAGATCTACTCACTGGAGGTATTCTTTCACCTTGATCCTTTGAGATAGATTTTAGATCGTGTCAAGGGCTTCCTTTTAATTCGAGTGGTTCGTGATTTTGTTGACATTGAGTTTTTCCCAGTTCTTCTCTTCCATCTTTTAAGCTTGAGGTAGGGATTCTCTGTACTTCTTTGTGAGTTTTAACTTAGTTATTTGTTTTTATAAAACAACATTGTGAAAAAGTGGATTTTTGAACAATTCTTAGGTTTTGATTTGAAATTAAAAGGAAGGGTTTTCAAATTGTTTATTAGGAATGGTTGTGGATAGATGTCTATTACTGAGCTATGATGAAATGATGGGTTTTTACCTCGAGAAATGGTTTATAAAGGAAAGAGGGTTTTTGGCCCTAAAAATCTCAAAAGTTGATTTTGTATTTATAAAGGGAATTGATATTTAAACAGTGAAATTGAGTTATAAGATGAGGATGGTGGAGTTGGATATGTATTATCACTCACGTCTTGAGATTTGGAAAGTTGATCTTTATTGAAGTTATCTATTTGTTTAGAGATATTTGTTTTGGGCTATCGGTGGAGGATAGCTATGATTGTTGTAGAAATTGCATGAGAATTAGGAGAATTAAAAACCAATTTCTCATTCATTTGCATTGAGCATTGTTGTATATTATTATTTCGTGGAAAACGTATATTGTTTTTGAGAAAGAGGGTGAATCTGAGAAGGAGTTGTTGTTACATGAAATAAGTTAGCTTGTGTGTCTATGGTGAAAGTCCTAAAAATCGCATGTATATATGGGTGTCGATCTCGCGGATGAAATATCTATAAAATGGCAATAGTAGTACTTGCATAGCCTACGTTTACATGGGTGTCGGTTTATAGTTTTCCTCGAACAAATTTTTCGTGAAATGTGATACTTGTCTAAAGATTCCCAGAGTTGTGATTCACTACCTTGTTTTTCTAATGTAAAGGAAATGATCCTAGAATTATGACGTGAACCTGGCATTGCATGGTTTTCGGAAAAAATGGATATAAAATATTTTGTCACGAGTATTGCATATGCATTTCACCCTTATATCTTTATTAAGATTCATATACTATGTTAGATTATTTCTATTGGGCTTTTACTTACCCTATGTGGGAAAATCATTTTTAGGTGCAGATGATATGCGTCTACCAAGGTAATAGCTTGGGAGGACTTGGAAGCGAGGGCTTCATCTTATTTATTTTGTTGTATTTATTTGTAAAAACCTAGGGCTTTAACTGTATTGGATTTAAATCCATTCTGTTGTAACCAAGCACTGTCTTGGAAAGCTGTAAGCCTTTAGAGCATTCCTTAATTGCTTAATGTCCATTCTATTATGTAACCTATACTATTGATTTAGGGATAGGAGTATGAATGTATACTTGCTTATGTTACTCTTTTGTAAACTTAATTGGAACCTACTGAAAGATAATTACTTTATCATTGTTGTTATTTATTAATGTTGTGGATGTGTTATAGCATTTATTTCGGGGTGTTACATTAACATTGTCTTTATTGTCTTATTAGATTATCACTAGTCCCTAAAGATTAAGCCGTTATGAAGAGGGACATAATACTGCATATCAAGATCTCCAACATGTAACCTTATCTTGCATGCGGAGATGCAATCAACCAAATATTTAGAGAAACAAAACATAAATGGAGAGACTTGAACCCAAGACGTTTCCAAACATGAGTTTTAATACCATGTTACATCAATAATTGTTAGTAAAAGGGTCCAACAAAGAATTGCATGTTCTCCAACACTTTTTAACTTCTGACTACTAAGTCACCCCAAAGAAAAAGAAAATGAAAGAGGCGTATTAGATTGCTTGGTGCACTAGGAAAAATCTTAGACTGCCATGTACCAAATCAATCCCTCTTCTTCCCAAGCGAAAGAAAAATAAATTATATATATATATATATATATTAGTAAGTAAGCATTATATTATCGAAGGTCTAAAACAAAAGGATATACATGAATTTGAAAACACGCCCAATGGCAACACCCCTTCTAGAGGATACATTACAGCACATGTATAGCCTTCATAAAACACTTCTTATAGCCTGAGAGACCAGGCAGAAAAAAGGTGATTCTCATAACCTGATAAGGATAGGTAAAAAGACCTACTTATCTAATTGTGCCATCCTTGGGCGAACTCAATGGATTTAAATATCGGTATCGGTATATGTATGGTATCGGTGATACGGTCATATGTCAGATAGTAATGGACAGTATTGGTCGATATATCAATGAATAATAGTATCGAAAGGCCAAAAACCCATTATGTAACGGTTGACTCATTATGTAACGGATGATATTTAAAACCTTTCAAGAGTTTCTTCGAAAAAGTTGAAGGCTTGTAGCTTTTTCTCTTGCTACCTTGAGATTCAAAATCTTGAGGAGGATGTACTAGCACAATCTTCATTACTATTCCATTTGTATCTCCCTAATGAGAAGCCAAGTGTTGCAAAATTTCAACTTTCCCCTAATCATTAATATTACCCTAGCTTTCCTCATTTTTTCTAACCACTAGGTTCTCCAAAGGTTGGCAAAAGTACAACATATAAAAAATATTTGTGCTACAATTCCATCATCTTTAGGCATTGCTTTAGAATTTGGGTTGTAACCCTTTTCATTTCTTTTATTGTTTATAAGCTCTTTCCATTCCCCTTGTGTGTCTAAAATCCTCACCTCTTTCAATTTTCATTATTGCCTAAGCAGATTTAGAGATGATCAGAAAGAATTAAATGGGTGGTCAAAAGTATTGTAGAGACCACATCTTTTTGGTTTTTAATAGACTTCTACTCTAATTTCATAGTGTTCCCCATATCCTGAATTGAGATTAAATGCTCTAGAGTCCAAGAATATTAGAATTTGCTTGAATCTTGAAACAAATTTGAGCAAAAGTTAGTACCACTCTTGTTTAGAGTATGTACATCCAAGTAGGGGTGTGCATAATACCGTCGAAACCGCCAAAATAGCACTGAACCGCACCGCCAAAGCAAATTCGTTGTTATTTGCCAATCGAATTGCCGATTTTTAGTAAGAAAAATGACAAATTCTAGTGACACTTTTATCAATCCGCCGGTTTCTATTTTTCTTCCAAACCGCACCGACCCGCACCACTATTAAATCATGTTTTATAAGATTCTAAAAATTCTTTTTTACTTAAGTTTGCTTGTTGTTCTATATGTTAGAATATAGTATCACATTACTGCTCGAGAGGAATTTTATGTATTGTATTTGATCATTGTAGCTTTCACCGATGCTTGTAATGAACTGATGGCATAGTCGTTGATATTATCATGTTGTTGCTACACTTGCTGCATCAGAAGAAAAATTCACAAGATGCTTAACATCACGGTATCTCTCGTCTTTTTTTTTACTCTTTGATTTAAGTTTTGTAATTTGAATTATATTTTTTATAAACTGCCAATCCGCCCGAACCGCCAAGGCAAATCCGTCATTATTTGTCAACCGAACCGCCGGTTTTTGATAAGAAAAATGACATATTCTAGTGACACTTTTATCAATCTGTCACCCGCCATACGGTTTCTATTTTTCTCTCAAACCGCACCAACCCGCACCGCGCACACCCCTACATCCAAGTACAATGGATTTCCAGCATTACTAGCCACAAAGCTTAGACCATCCTTGGTCCACAATTCCAACGCCACTGTAGTGACCCAGAATTATTTTTTTAAAATAGTTCTTGATTATAGACACTCCATTTTGACCAGTCCTAAGACTTGGGCGCTTTCTTTTGAACACCCCATGATGAAAATTAGAATATGCTATTTTATGAATTTCTCAGCAGAAAAAATCAAATTGAAACTTTAATCTCAAACCTCACCCATTTTGGCCAAATTATTAATTTGTAGTATATTTTATAATTTTATGTGTGTGTATATGTTTTTAGGTAGATTGTATGGTCAGGGAATTTTTGGAGAAAAGAGAATGCAAAGAGAGGGTGGAATATGCATGATGGTGTTTTCGGTGGTGGAAGATTTTATGATTTTTGATGGTGGAGAATGATTTATTTGAGAGAGAGATTGAGGGGGAGTGAATGATAAAATAAGAGAGAGGGGCCGTTCCACCTATTCTTTTTCTAAGGTAGTGACAGATTGATTCTCAAGTGTAAACATCAGCTTCCCCCACTTGCACTTAAATCTAATCCATGTGCAAACACTATGAAGACCCAAAAAAAAATAAAAAATAAAAAATAAAAAATAAAAAAAAATCATCCCACTAATAGAAGAGAATCTGGGGGAGATGGCCACAAAGGGACCAAACCGAGACACACAGGTGATAAAAAAAAAAAAAAAAGGTGTTGGAGTGGGGTTCAAAAGGTGTAAAGAATATTTTCTAGAAAGAGAGAGATGGGTCATTGTTCTCAATGTACTATACACACTATAGATAGATCATCAGGAGATAAGATAAAGGGAGGTTACAGGAAAATCACCCCATTTTTCATACCTTACGCTATAACAAATATGGGCTCAGACTTGCTTGCAATTGAGCTTGGTTTTATGGGACCAAATTATTCAATATCAACCGCTTGTGCTACCTCCAGTTATTGTTTCTATGCTGCTACCAATCACATTCGTGGAGGTGAAGCCGACTTAATGATTACTGGTGGAACTGAAGCTGCCATTATTCCCCTTGGCCTGGGTGGTTTTGTTTCAAGTAGAGCTTTCTCTCAGAGAAATGATGATCCACAAACTGCTTCTAGGCCATGGGATAAAGATCGAGATGGCTTTGTCATGGGTGAAGGTGCTAGTGTATTGGTGATGGAGAGCTTGGAACATGCAATGAAACGAGGCGCACCAAATATTGCGGAATACTTGGGAGGTGCAGTAAATTGTGATGCTCATCATATGACTGATCCAAGAGCTAATGGACTAGGTGTCTCTTCATGCATTGAGAGAAGCCTTGAAGACGCTGGTGTGTTACCAGAGGAGGTTAACTACGCAAATGCACATGCAACTTCCACTCCAGCTGGTGACGTAGCTGAGGTGAATGCCATAAAGAAGGTATTCAAAAACACTACAGAGATCAAAATGAATTCAACCAAGGTAAACTATTTCTTTACCTCTCGGTCTCTCTATCTACTGTGTAACTCAAAGTGCAAAGTGAAGTTTGAAATGGTGGCCTAAAGAAGAAGTTTAGGATATCTCTGTGTTTTCTTCAGAAAATTACACAGACACACATAGGAACATCTCCCTCTCCCTCTCTCTTTATTCTCTATTGTTGCTCAATCTTTAAGATTCAAATGAGAGTCCTTAAAGTGAGATTTTGTTAAAGTGTTGTAAATGAAAGTCGGAGAACTCGTTGTGATCTTCGCAATGGTAGTCTCGGATTCATGATCGGGCAAGATTTGCCTTCCAGATTTTGCTCTTCTTCAATATTTGAGGTAGAGACTTTCTTCATATTTTTACATTAAAACTATGTTAGGGTTATTTTGAAAAAATATATCATTATAAGAGGTATTGTATATATATATATATATATATTTATTTATTTATTTAGATTTTTGTTTGGTAATTTTTGGAAGAAAAATTATGTTGAAATGTTAAGAATGTTGGCATTTTGACATTGATTTGGAAAAAATCATTTTTGTATTGATAATTTTGCAAAGAAATTCGAAAATAAAATTTAATAGTTGTATGGATTGTCTCTACATCATATTATGATTAGATGATTTATTTTGAGAAATTATATTGAAATGAGAAATGAGAATTTTAATTACAATGAGAATATTTTGTGGAAGTATTGAAAATGAAAGAAATATTACATTGTATTATTAATCATTGTATTAGCATATCAATTCACTTGATAATGATGAGTTTTGAAATTTGATTTGAAAACTTTGCATTGAGAAAGGAATGTTGGGAAACAAGTTTTCATGAAATGATTTTGGGATAAATGCGATGGTAAGTCTTGAAAGGTGGTGTAGAGACCAGAAAACCGCACGGATAGGTGTCGAGCCTTCCAGTTAATACTGGCAAAAACGACAGATTACAAGTATTGAGCCTTCCAGTTAATATTGGTAAAAATGACAGATTATAGGTGTCGAACCTTCCAACTAATACTGGTAAAAATGACAAATTGATAGTACTTGTATAGTCTACTTGCAGACACCAGTCTAAGGATTACCTGAGTCGTATTTACCACCTTGGAATTTATTGAAATTGTTGGATTAATGTGTTTTCAAATTGGCATTGTGCGTAAGATTTTCAAAAAATGAGAAAAATATTTGAGCATGACATAGCATATGTATTCATCTCATAAAACTGTATAAAATAGATTTGATGAATTATTTAATTATTTGATTCAAGTGATAATGAGATAATTGAATGAATTGAAAAGAATGTCATGTTGCTATTAAAACATGTTTATTTATTTAAGTTAACTTGTTGTGGTTAATTAAATAAATTAGATTTAAGAGATTATGTAATAAAATCATATGGTTTTGACATGATATGATTTCACGTATATGTGTGAGTATTTTGGTACCCGCATATCTTCTAATGTTTTAATATGAGATTACTTGGTAAGCTAGTGATTGCTTACCCCCTACTTGTACATGTATACAAGGAATGCTTTTCGAATTTGAAGATCAAATAATATGTTTTACCATTTCATAAGTGTGATGTAGTGATGGATTGTATTACTTCATTTGTTTGTTCGGCTAAGTGTTATTTTTATTTTATTTTTTTATTTTGTAAAGAGTGTCCTCTCATTTGTTGTAAGCCGCAGGGCACTCCTTTTGTTCATATGTAAATAGGGATGTACACGGTCCGGATTGGTTCGGTTCTGAGAAAATCCAAGAACCGAACCAATCCTAACGGTTCTGTGATTTTGAGAACCAGACCAGACCGTTACACTTGTAAAACCGAACCAGAACCAAACCGAAAAAACGGTTCGGTTTCGGTTTGGTTTACGGTTCCAAAAATTTCTATTTACAAAAACAAATTGTTAATATTAGCAAAATAATTACTCAAACTAATTACATTTAACTCATGATAAAAACTAATAATATTAAGGCATTACTTAATATTACATATCTATATCATCCTAATATCATTAAAATTATAAAAAACCAATTAATAAAAATAAAACTTGATATTATATATATATATATATATATCTTTTAAAATTCGGTTCGGTTCGGTTCGAACCGCGGTTTTTTCATAAAATCCATTAACCGAACCGTTTTTACGGTTCTCATATTTCTTAATCCGAAACCGAACCAATTCTTAATAGAACCGAACCAAACCGTACGATTCGGTCTGGTTTGGTCCGGATTACCGGTTTGAACGGATTTTTGAACAGCCCTATATGTAAATGTCTTTATTGTATCACGAGAGGGAATATGTATATTTAATTATTTATCATTTCATCCAAAGATGAACTGCCATTTGTAAATGAACTTAATTAATGAATATTAGTAATATTATCCAAGTAATAAAAATTGAGGCGTGACAGCCACATTATAAATTAATCCACACTAGAAAAGTAGAAAAAAGTAATTTTTTTTTCCTTCAAATTCATTCCTAGAAACCACCATTTCATATTAATAAGCTTACCACCACTGAAGTAATAAGGACATTCTAGAATTTTGTTTAAAGACTCTTCATCTTTAATTTTGAAATTTGAAAACCATTGTCTAAGGCTATAATACATCAATGCAATCATTCTTTAATAGCTTGTCATCCTAAGATTTAACTTAGTGTAATGAAAGCTTCTTAACATTTGAATATAATTTTCTCTAATCCTACAGATATCATTTACCATGTTCACCTCTTAAATGTTAATATCATTTGTAGATGCCCAAAATTTTTCCACTAATGCGAAACCTTCAATAGCTTGAGTACCCATCGGCAAGACCAAAAATAGTTTAAAAACGTTTAAATGCAATCTTAATACCTCTAGACAATATTTGTGAGGTGCCTTTTTCCCTTCGCAAGGTATATTCATAAGGTTTCTTTTGAATGGCAAATCACCTTTGGGATACTTGAACTTTAAGTTGAACATTGGCTAGACTTGTGTGCCAAATTTTAAGAAAACTTGTAGAACATCTAATAAGTAACATTAAGTAAGTAAATATAAATGTGTTTGCTTTTCAAATTTTCAAATTAAGGATTTCAAGTTGGGAAGTTTTAGTGCCTAAATAGGGTTCTATACTTGACATGTTCTTGATTCTATCGACAAAAATCCATAGACCTGTACATACATTGTATGCAAGGGCGTGTATGGCTTGGCTATAGGTCTATACTAAAACCAAAATGAGAGCCTAATCCCAAAAAATTTTGGAAAATGAAATAATTCTTTTTCTTTATTTGCTTGTGGAATCTTTGCCTAAGCCCATGCACGGCTTACAAGTATATAAAGAGAGTATTGGAATTTTGCACTCATGCCCTGAAATAAAAGTAACTCATTTTCAACAGTTGATCTTAGGGCACTCAATCTAATTTTAACCCTAAGTTTACCCATAGTTCTAAATATCGATCGGTCGATTCATACCGGAAAATCGAAACACCGATTTGGATATAGATTGATATAGCAGTGAGAATGAAATTCGCAATCGTAACGTCCAAGTCCCGGTACGTGGCAGCCTGAATCCGATAAATACGGCGATACAGTCCGATACACGTCGGTTGTCGCCAATACGGATGAAAATTCACGCAGAAAACCTGCAAGATCTGAGCTTCTTTGGGCTATGGAGTTCACTTCGATCTTCAAGCTTCTTCAAAGAAGATTTGTCCCGGTGTTGCAAGTTATAATTTGTGCTTATGCTTATGCTCTGTTTTTGGTCAACCTGAAGCTACTATGCTCTGTTTAGTTGTTGTACTATTGTTTACGTGTAATTTTTTTTTATACACCTACACTACACCACTGTTTATATTAATATATATATGTATATATATATATTTCTATTCGGATTAGTGGAAAGGTTTTTTTATTTTTTTTTATTTTTGTGCTATGTTTTTGTACTATGTTTTTTTTTTTAAATTTTCTTATTATTTGTGTCTTGGTTTAGTGTAAATGCTTAAAATTTAGATTTTTTATTTATTTTTTATTTTTTAAAGAGGTTTATTCTAATCAGTTTTTTATTTTTATTTTAAATGTATTATTGTTACTAACTAAATTAGAATTATAATATTTGTCAATTGAAAACTGTTATTGTAAATAATTGAAAGTTATAATTGAGACTAAAATAAATACATGTCATTTAATTGAAAATAAGTCAAAAGTGCACCTATATATCAAAATTTTGATTAAAATGTGACAAATTAAGGCTAACAGAGTAAAAAAAAAAATGCATAAAATTGAGTTTTAGAAGAATTGTTAATGATTTTTAAAATTTTACGGCCGCGACACTCAATTCCCGATACGTACCGGCCGATACTATCGATACTTATACCAATACTCCGCAGTTGATACTGTTACGTTACCCAATACCGGGATTTAGAACTATGGTTTCACCTATAAATACCTCATGAATTTTGGATGAAGCGGCATGAAAGAGGTCCTAAAGACAGACCAGGAACTCTGAAGATCCAAAGCTTGTCTTAGCGTTTTCTTGAAGATCAAATGAAAACATACCACGATTGGCTAACCATTAAGCCGATCAAATCCTTGAACGATTTATTCGAGGTAATTATTTTTTAATTTTTTATTTATTCAATTTTAAGCTCTTCTCTAATGTTTTATCAATCGTTCTTTGGAAGATCTTCTTGTGAAAATCTTTTATGATCTCTCTTTTTCATGGGAATAACTAGTTTAAGCATACTAGAAACTCTAAAGATCCAAAGCTTGTCTAAGCATTTTCTTAAAGATCGAAGGAAAACATACATATGTTGATTGGTTGATCATGAAGCCAATCAAATCCTTATAAAAGATTCATTTGAGGTAGTTCTTTTTATTTTTTATTCAATTTCAAGGTCTTTTTTAATGTTGAATCAATTGATCTTCAGAAAGAATCTTCATGTGCAAATCTCTCATGATCTCTCATTTTTATGGCAATATTACTGGGTTAAGCATAATGTTTAGTCCTATCTAATGGAGATGGGAGTTATCTAAAAGGGGCAGATTAGTGTAGGTATTTTTATTATAAAATGGATGTTTTAATTTTATTATCATATTTGTTGTTCATTTTATAAAGGGTAAATTATACTTTGCACCCTGCACTCTATACTAAATTTCACTTTGGTCCTTATATATGAAATAA